ACTCCTAACATTCTGTGATTCTGTGGTATACCTGACTTGAGTTAGGCAAGTAACTTACAGTTTTAAAAGCAATGAATATGACACATTTATTTTCTCACATATGCAGTAACATATGATAATTTTATCACATACGCAGTAACACATCCTGTCACTGAGGTAAAGAAATACCAGTAAATAACTGAAGTATTTTGCCAGCTTCGAACATTCAGACATTTTGCATAGCAAGGAAATACCTTACTTAAGTCAAAGAAATCCATACTTACGCCTTCACCTCTCACATCTACAGTCAAACTGTTTTGATTGTGGTCTACAAAGCGCCCAGCCACCACTATCTCAGACCCATCGTAGAAATGCTTAAAATGGTTTTTAGTTAGGTCTGATATTTCATTTTCCGGGTAGCTTAACTCAACATCTGTGAGCATGGGATTTGACACTTCATCATAAAAACCCTTCAGGAATAAAAAAAAAAGAAAAATACTTAACTATCATGGCTTCTTCAATTCATAGGTAGATCTGTACCCATAAACACTTCGGTATTTCAGCAATGAAAACTAGAAGTGTATTTTAGAAGAAATATTTAAATATTCAGTTAAATCTCAGAGTACAGGGACAAAAAATAATCTACAAATAATGGAAATGAGAAAGGACATATAAACTCTTCAGTCTCACTAAAAGAGAGGAAAAATAGCTGAGAACAACATGCTGTGGATGATGAGTTCCATCAATGGTTTATCAAGAGGGATCCCAGGCTTCCCCCAATTTTATTGAAATAAGTTTCTACATCTATTCCCTGCAGAGACTGAAATGACAACATAAGCCAAAGACTAGGTATTTGGTTTTAGAAGAACTTGCAATGAAATCCTGTATGTAAATTCTCTGAATGGCTGCTATCGGAATGTGAGAAGTAAAACAGGTCAACTCTGTATGACCTATACCTGTTCTCATGCCTTACAGAACTATAAAATGCTTCAGAAGTATGGTAATATACACCTGCTTGCAGTAAGTTCCTAAAGACAGAATATCTAGGGCCTTTATGCTCTGTCAGCCTTTTCTTCCCTTGACATAACATTAACTACATGATCTGTGAGGTATGGGAAATACAATGACTGCGGAAATTTTGCTGCACGCCAAAGAGTCCTTCAGAACCATGACTTGTGTCAGCCTATGCCAAGTTTTGAACCCTCTTCCATAGCCCACAGTACCTTCCTTTTACTGTCCTTCCACATTCTACTTATATAATGGAAGGGGAAAATTAAATGCAACTAATATTCTGATTACAGCAGACTCTCGAGTGTCTCGGTATGAAATTACACTTCAGGGTTTTGATTACTACAAAATCAGAATGTCTGTACAGTTATCTGAATTAATGTAGCTCTCATCTAATTTAAGTGGTGATTACTGTACCTGAAGCTGTAAAGCTGCATCAGAGTCAGGATAAATACGACGGGCCAATCCTTTGTTCTCCAGTGCCATCTTCTCCAAGAAGCTGTAATCAACCCCATAGCCAAAACCAAGATTGTATAAGGGATATTTTCCTTCAATGGCTTTTTTCACATGCATCTGAATATCCTGAGTATTTGATATACCTGTATCAAACCAGGAAAAGTTTGAGTTTTCTTCTTAAATAGATAAAATTATCACAAATGAAGTGTAGCTAGTTGTGCTCAGATTTCTTAGGAGGCATTACTAAAAACTTGTTTTAGGAGTATGATGCTGGTATGGTAGCATTTAAAAAATGAAAACATCCAGAAGTCAAAGATGGAGGCCAACTGTAACTGAGCATTTTTTTATTAGTTAATTCCCTCTCTGTATTATTCCATCCACCAGAAACTTACCTACGTTGGGTTGGCCATCTGTTAACATGATAATTATAGAAGCGCTTCTCTTGGGCACAACGTTTCCTTCATAAGCAGCATTCAGCATATCAATACCCCTCATTATACCACCATGTAAATTTGTCACTGCAAGGCAATCACAGAAATTTGGTTTCAGCACAGACAGTCAAAATAAAGGCGTATTTTTCACTGCAATCTGACAAGATTTCATTACAGAGATCTTGTACAGATCTCAGAGATATTTTCATAATAAAATGAAAGTCCTGGGTTTGCAAGCAGAGGGATGTTTAGATAGAAAAGTATCTGGACTTTGGAAACATAAGGAAAAATAGATGTCATGTTCTGAGTAAATTTCAACTTTAGGTGTGTCTCATAAGTAATAAAAAACGAAAACACAAAACCTCACTGTAGCATTGTGTTCACAGCCTGAATTGGTAAACTAATTCACACAACGACCTATTGGCAGATCCAGTAAAGTACTTACTGCCTGCAGTATCAATGCCCCGAACAAACTTCCGTGCTTCGTCCAAATTCTCAGGAGTGGCCTTGATCAATGCTTCTTTCCAGCTGTGTACTTCACTACCAAACAGTATGAAATTGAAGAAGTCATTTTCTTCAATGTCATCTAAGATTTTCAGAAGGGCTTCTCTTGTCTGTAAGACAAAGAAATTTAAATATATGGTTCAGCATTTTACAAAACAGGTGCTTACACATTTTACATGATTAATCTCTCAGCCTTTGGGTATTTTTAACTTTTACACAGTATGCCATGCAAAAACTGTGAACTTGTTCTGTCCTTGCCAGTCCTTGTGTCTATTTTTCAGAGCAACTCTAGGGACGTCAGCTGGTTGCAATTACATCTGGTAGATCTTTGTAGCTGAGAGAAAAATCAGACCTCACGTCATGGATCGTTGCTTACACTGAGGTAAGCTGGCATGGCAAATTGAAAGTGATGGGAAACGGATAGCTACAGGTTGGTGGAGAAGCTCATACACAAGTAAGTGTAGGTATTCAGATGCAGAACCAAAACCTGAAAATTCTAATCATTAGCTTAGAATGAGGATTTCTAACTATGAAGAGAGCTGCTGCTTCCCAGAGGGGACAGAATGAACAACATACACATAATGCTGTATGCACATTTTAATTTTGGAATTGCCCAGTACATGTGACAGAGCTCTCTGGAAATGTCAATATTGAGAGCTTTGAACTAATACCATCTTTAAGTAAGTAAATAGAGCCTAAATGTATAGAATTTTGTTCTACAGTAACACTTCAAACTAGTACTTACGGCATTAGAAAGGTCAGAGCATAAAACCACTTTATACAGCTTAAGCAGTGCATACATACATACTATAAGCCACCATAGTCTTTCCATCATAAGAGAGGTTCTTCCATTAGGACTCTGAAGTAATGTAATACCTTACCTGTGCTATTTCTCTTCCAGACATTGAGCCACTAATATCTATTACAAAAACAACATTCTTGGACAACTTTGGAAGATCTGTTGGTGCAAAAAAGTGTACAAAGTAGCCATTGACAATCTGAAAAATAAAATGTAAAAAAAATTAATATTTTTGTATATTATAAAGTTAAAACAGATAAAAAAGAAATTAATTTCATTTAGTGTCTAGCCCCTGAGTGGATTAATAGGCTTTAAGGGCCCTGACCAGTCTCACCTCTGTCCATGGGCCCAGGAGCTTCACTTAAGAGCAAGCCTGGGCCTTTAGTCCCTGCCTGAGCTGCACTGTAAGAACACCTACCTCCAGCTCTGTCACAGCCATACCTGGTCCTGTCCACGGACTCCACTGATCTGGATCCCACCCTGCAGCCTGACTTCCTACCTTGTCCTCAGGCTGCCTCATCACCACAAACTCGCCTGATGACCTCAACTCTCAGTCGAATCTGACTATCATCTCTGCATCTGTCTTGCTCGGGTGCTGTGGGGAGTGGGCTCATGGCTGATGAAATCCCTATGCTGTCAGCTGTGTTGTCACACTCAGCTCCTTGTCCTTTAGGGAACAGCTGGCCCTCGGTGCTCCCTGACCTTTACTATGCAAGCTAAGCTGTTCAACAGTTCAAAATTTCCAGCTGTCAGATTTACCTGCAAATTATCTGGAGTTGTTCTCTTCACATCATATTTTACAAAAAAATCCCCATCCAAGACAGACTGTGAACAATTTGCACAGGTTCGCTGCTGATCAAGAGATGGCTTGAAAGAGATATGCCCCTGAAAAGAAATGCCTTCATTAGATCTGAACCTTTAGAGCTGAAAATTTTCTACAGAAAAGAAGTTTGCATTTTTTTATAAAACTAGTATATTTATATTCACAGACACAAGAATAACCTGCTTTATCAGGTTAGGTATTAGTTTGTATTTATATATTTAGTGATGGGTAACTGACATGCAAAAGCTGCTATCTAGAGCTTTCTGCATATGTTTACTTCCCTTTCTTCCTTGGCCCTTCACTCCGAACACCCTTAACAAGGCTGTTGGGCAGTCCATGTCGTAGGAATTCTACCACGGCCATACATAAGAAAACTACCTGTTACTGCCTCAGTTCTTCTGCAAGAAATAGTCCTAACAGTATTGAGGTTTACAACTACTGCTGTGGGACAAGGGCTTCTGAACTGCATGGAGATGGTGTTTCACTTGCTAGCTTGGAATTCAGAGCTCATGTGCACAGACAAGCCTTTACTGTATCTTCTCTAATTTTTTTTCCTCTCGTTTCCATTGCTAGCCACTACAGCACTTGTGCACTGACATTCTAATTTCAGAAATATGAGCGCAGTAAATAAATTATGGATTGCAGGAGTCATTGTACCTTTTTCTCGGATAAAGTTTTTTTAATGGTATCTTGCAGATCATTGGTGATGAATGTTCCTTCCACTTCCAGATCAGTGATACCCTGGGGCTCAAATATATTTACTTCAATCTGAAATATTAATTGAAAAATTCATTGTCACTGATTACCCCACACTACATCAACGTAGCCATTTACAGGAGGATCAGCAGGCAACCATGAATGTGAAAGAGGGATTTTTGTAAGAGTAAAATAAATTTTCTTTTGTAATTCATAATGGCAGGCCAAACCCACATTTGTGTGGACACACCATCAGCCAAACAGGCGTTTTTATACATAGAAGTTAAAAGCAAAGCTAGAAACAAGTAAAACTTAAAAGAAATACAACTTGTTTGAAAGCTAGATACTGGAATTTTGTAAAATGTCAATAAATACTCAAGTACTTCAAAAATATAACTGAGCCATTAGCTGTGAGTTACTCCCAACTTTGACCTATATTTCAGTAAGCCTTCTACCAGAGTGTGTTTGAAATAATGCTGCATAAACTCTTACAGATGCTGAGTTTTGTAATGATTTTTAAAAAGCATTTTCTAGGCATACAAAGGAGAAAAATTTTGCCTTAGAGCTGGGTTTTAGCAAGGCAAACTGGAGTGATCAAAGACAACATACGGCACACAAAAACCGCAGGATTCTAGAATACAATACATGTATCAGTGTCATTTAAGATGATGTAGTTTCATGGTGGTATGAGAAGAGTGTAGTTTATGCTATAAAGGTGTTTATAAGAGCTATTAGTCTTCTCTTTTACCCCAAGGAATCAAAATGGCTTTTTCAGTTTCCATGTATCGTTTCTTTTGGAGGCTCAGAAGCTGAGCCAATTTGTCAGGCTTACAAATAAAAACCTGCACTAAAGCATACTGGACTACCCTCGTGATTCACTAGAAATATTATCACAGGCCTTTAGCTCACCTGTGAACTAACAGGAATGACCACAGTATTCCACTTCCAATAGATGTACAGAATTTCATCATCTCTTAAGTTACAGTATCAAATTCAACACAGTTTGCCATTTACCTCAAAATCTTTGACAAGCTGCTTTGGTTTTACTTTGATGAACATCTCATATTTTCCAAACTGTCGCTTCAGCAGCTCCTCGTATGTGAGTTCAAAACTGACTTTACTGGCTGCTTTGATGTTAACTGAGACAGTGAATTTTTCTGTTTTTCTTCCGGAAGCTCTGGATTTAAGTGGGTAAGAAAAAGAGTATCATTATCCTCTTTCACAATATTTATTGTTTGGATTGGTGGAGTATGGTTCTCAAAAAGACATAAAGATGGGAATTCTGATCTATTGTTAAAATCATACTCAAACCGTAGGATTTATTCAAGTTTCCCAATGAGTTTAATCCCAGGAACAGGCCATACAAAGTCAGTAAAAACTGCAGAAACAGCCTTTCCATAATTGCAGATACTGCCTGTGTAGTCAAAAGTTGTATTTCGTTCTTATATTTACACTACAATAACTCTAACTTAATGATTGTTCTTTGGTCCTGCAAAAAAACCCCAAAACTTCAGAAATACACCACAACAAGGTATTTCCAATCTTACAATTTGCTACAGTATGATGGTGTGGAAGCCACACAAGACAACATTCTTACTTGACAAGACCAGCAGTCTGCCCCTTTGAAACAGCTTTCTCATATTGCTTTTTTGCAACTTCTTTTTCCTTTACAGTTCCAGGATAAGTGACACCATCAATTGTCCTGCAGATGAAAAAGTCCTACTTTAGCTGAATGGTTTGCACCAATACATGCAAAGTTACCATAGGCAATTATCTGTTTATTGACTGGTTTGCTAAAGAGTGAATTTTACCTTCAGAAATCTGATGTTGCCAAGATTTGAGCACTTTCACTGAAGCTAGGCTCAGTGGATTTACCTGGGAATGAACAGCTCTGTGCTCAGTATCTTAAGATAATCTATACCAATTTTTACTTTGAACATTAATTAGATCAAAACTGGGTTGATAGCAGCACTACTCACATCTGCCATATTCCTACGCTTCAGGAGCCTGACCATCTTGTCTCATCTAATGGCAAAGGACTCTCTGGATAAGGCTCATCTGTCCAAATGTAGCTGTCTGCAGCTGAACAGCTCATCCTTAGACTCCTTACACCCTTAAACAGGCATTTCTCACACGTGATTCATCTCATCCTATAATAAAAGTTCTAGCATGCTTTAATAGTAGTTGTGCTACTGTTTCTTTTCACTGAAAATAAGAAGTATAGTGTGATTAGCAGAGATGGATGTGTTTAAACTGAATTAAACCTCATAATGGTGTGAAAAATTGCATATTATTGCAACTAAAGGTACAAATGTAAAATAATAATTCTATTTCCTGCCTTCTATTCAAATATGATTTTTAAATGAAGGTAAATTAAGCTGTAATGCCATCAGGGAAATTAAGCAATGGAACTTTTCTGGTTTGATAACACCAGAGTAAGGAAATCGTATTTCTGAGAAGGTAAGTGGATCTCCTGAGAAGATCCCCCATTCTCTAATGTCCATGATGATGAATAAAAATAATTGAAAATTAGTCATATTTTCTATAGATGAACCAACATTTGCCTTTCTCAAAGTATCTTGCATGTTAAGTTAATAGTACCAGAAAATTACCCAGGAGACATTTAGAAATGTATCAAAAGGCAAAGTAAAAATTAACGTTTGGGTTCAGTTTTCTCAGTGGCATTGCACAGATTTTTAGTCTTCTCTAAAATACTGTAAAGATTACACACATGCTGAAGTTGGTGATGAAGGCTGTCTTAGGGAGTTCAACATCAAAGACGACTTCTTTGTGCACATTTCCACGGTTGACAGCTCGACTGCTGATGACATTGTGGGCAAATCGGGAAGTTACTTTACTATCAATTTTCATGCTATAGATTTCTATTCCATTGACAACCTGCAGATTGAAAAATGAAAAACAAAACCAAATAAACAAAAGCCAGCTGTTACACTGATGTCTGTGTTAATCAGCCTTAACCACATTTTTAAGAAATCATGGCAGGACATTCCACCACTCCAAAACAAAACAGGGCAGACCTAATCATAAGAACTGGAGCACAGCTGTGTTTCCTTGGATATCTACTGCACTGCCATCACAGTGCTATTCCACAAGTTACAACTATAGCCTTTTTAAAAAGAGTACCACCACTGCAAAGATCCTGCCATTATAAGAATATTTTTTTCTCTATTGAGACTGTGACTTTTGTTTATGGTTAGTTAAAGAGCACAAGAATTTACTGCTGCCTCACTGTATTTCTATGACTCCTAGAGCAGGGATATGAGTAGTCATCTTGTTTAAAAACAGAACAAAACCATTTCAGATGGCTCTAAATTCCACTTCAAGTTATTCTTAATTTCCACACAAGTGGGGCTCATTCTTCTTTAAACAAGGAAATGGGTAGGGCAATACTTATTTTCTTTGAATGCTCAAGTATAATGTTGCAGGAGACTGTATGAAAGCATAGGTAACAACAGATGGGACTCCTGCAACTCCACACCAACAAGGTCTGCTTCTTGCAGCAAAACCAGCACTGGAAATAACTTTGGGGGTTTTATGGTGGGCCTGATCGCTGGCTGGTTGATTAAGAAGGTCCTCAATCAATCAAACCATTGAAGCATTGCTGAAGTGGAGTCCAGGTGCCAAGTGGAATCAGCCTCAGAGATGAGGTCTCCTTCCTTCCTTAGAAATAACTACAACATAAAATAGAAGTAAAGTAAAACCAACATAGAACAGATGTCTATTAGAGATACAGAGGTGGCTTCGAACAACTTTGCTATTTATTCAAATACAACAAGATTCTATTCATTTGTTCATTCTCTTTCCTTGTCTATGAGTTTCTATCAGAGCTTGGAAAGAAACATCTAGTTAGTCCTACTGCAGAAAACAAGCAATTCTGGGCTACTCCCCTCGTCACACACACTCAGAAATACCCATTTGCTCAGACTGGACTCACAGAAACATGGTACTAACACAGTAAGAATATTCTTGTCACTATAAATCTTTCTCAGTAGCCCAGACAAAACCAAGCTTTACTCACCAAGTCATTATCAGCATTTCGCTTCTGTAAACAAAAAAAAAAACGGAAAAAAATAATTACTAAGGTAAGAAAGCTGCATTTAAAAATAAATCGCTTAAGCACCTATATAGTCTTCTGCTTCCAAGTCAAAAAAAGCTGTCCAGGAGAAGGAAAGCTTGAGAAAGGTACTCATTACTAAACTGAAATAAATTTGAGGCAGGAGCAAGTAAGGCATCTGAGGCAGGTGTAATTATTTTCCTTACAGCATTCCCAGCTTTGGTGAATCCTTTGGTTTTTCTCTGCTGTCAGTGCAGTGCAACACTGTGGGTGTGAAAGAGAAGTTTAAACTGTGGACGTAGCTGATTGTTTTTACTTTTCTCAAGTGACACAAGAAACTGTTACCGTTTTTCAGCTGAAAGACAATAATGGACCACCTGAGAGACGAGGACAGAGTGAAGGAAAAGAGGCTTGAATGCCCAGTGTCACTTATATTTCAATGGCATTAAGACTAAAGAACACGCTACTGTTTAATACGGCTTCCTTGAGCATAGTTTGGCTGTGTACTGACATCAGAGTAAACACAGAGTATCTTGTCCTGAGGGGTACATCTTTTTCTTGAGAATTCCTGGTTTGGGGTCCTGTCTTTTCAACATGTTGTCTTTTTTTGCAAATTAATTGTCCTTTGGAAGAAAATAAAGTTTGCATCAAAGCATAAAAAATGAGTTTGTCTTTTATTTCCTAATCACACACACATCCAAACTATCAGGCACAGTGACCCTTACAGTCTTTCAGACTTACTCCCTAAATTTTCCCTGTTTCACCCCAACAGCCTCTCATTCCAATGCAGATAGGTAGGACAGCAATTCAGCAGGCTTGCGGAGAGGAGAGGCGGTCACTAGGAAAGGCTGCATGGAGATTAATAAAAAGCTGTTGGGACCTTTTTTCACATATTTGCTCTCAGAGTAGGTGCAAATATCACAAGCAGTACAAAAATACCACGTACTCTCTTCTGAAGGAGAGAAAAGACCTCAAATATACGTACTGAACCACATTAAATAACAGCTTGTGTAATTCATTTCCCGTCAGCTCGGCTGCAAATACCTTATCTCTTTTGGCTCCAGGAACCTCATGGGTCACATTTTGTGCAAGCATGTTTACCTACTCCACCAAATCGTATGGTACAGACATGTAAAGTACCAAGTCAGGTACACGCCACGTACATTTAAGGCTTTTGTTATGTTTCACAGTTAGGAGTTCTGCATTTTGGAAATTGAGACAGGAAGGGTTCTTTCTGTTTCTTTTGGAGGTTTTTTTCAAGACACTACATTAAATCTACGGTAATGCAAGGTTTGGGAGGGGAGGCTTCTCAACTTCTGTAAGAGTCAGGCCAAAAAGTCCATGTACTTTTCTCTAGGTTCATCTCTCGAACTGTTACTGCCATACAGATGATTTCTGTGCGTGTACGTCTCTCCTGTTTCACAGACACACGTGGGATTTTTTAAAGCCTGGGTAAAGTACGCACCAATTCAGCTACTTCCTTTCCAAAACTGAAGTTATCTTTTCTGTATCTATACTACCATTATGGATAAACATTTCCCCTTACAAAACACAAACTGAGTATGGACTCTGGGAAATTAAAAGCTGCAAGTCACTGAAATGTCAGTTTGTTTGGTACAAACTTTTCCTTAAAGTGGAATTACCAAGCAGTTTAAGAATACAAAAAACTACAAGAAAGGTCTTCTTTAGGTACAAATTCTGCAATTCTGACTACTATTTCCTATAATTAAAAGATACTTTACCTGCAATTAATATTTACAGTATTGCTGTTGAGAACATTCTTTATCAGAATTACGGGTTCTAAGTAGTTTTGAAACATTTCTCTTCTGATTCTGTAAATGTTGAAGTGTACTCTGCCATTCTCATTGAAAAAGAAAATACAGAAGAAAATCTCTCAGTGAAAGGCATTAGTCACTTTGTACTTGGGCTGATCTCCCACAGAGATGCTCAAACCCAGCTGGATATCATCCTGGGCTACCTGCTCTGGCTGACTCTGGTTTGCACAGGGGAGTGGACGAGGTGACTAATTATTTCATTCTTAATGATTCACTTGAATGCAGCTAGAGACCTCACTGACATCAAGGTCACTTTAAGCTATGTGGGCAGAAAGCGACAGCGTCCCATTAAAAAATGTATTATGCAATTCTAGACCAAACGGAGATTTTAATATCCTCTACCTTGTGTAATTACAGTTACTCAATAAAATCTTTCTACAGTATTTCAACGGATTTGCCAGTTCCACCAATTATTAGAAATTTTTTTCAGTTGTATAACAGTAACAAATTCTGCTTTTGTTTAATACTGTTTTGCTGTGGCAATAGCAAAGGCTATAGGTGCAAAAAAGCTACAGAAATTGGAGAGGAAGAGCAGAGGAAAAAAGAAATTTGAACTCCCAAGAAAATAGGGAGGGAAGGGAGGGCTCCCATTACAGACCCTGCTGACAGAAGCCCTGATTTGACAGCCTGGGAAAACAAAACACAGCATGACTAAAAGATTCAGCAAAGACTGTACAGGTGACTTGAGGTGACCTCTGGGAATTCACAACATTGGACCAGGTATTTCCCCAAGTGCTACATAGGAAAAATAAGGCATGACAATGATTTCCAAATCTGCAGCAACATTAAAGATTTTGACATCTCGAGTGATGCTAATTGGAAATCACAGAGACCATAATGCAGCTAAGCTATGAAAACTAATCTTCCACGTGAGCTAATGAGCCTTGCTGCTGACAAGACGAGAGGGCTGTGAAAGGAAAGCTGTATCATCGTTACCCGTGCTTTGAATATGTAGTTCTAGGGAAAGTTTTTGATCTAGAAATAACTTTCCCACCCTCAGTAGCTGCATGCATAGGAACAAGGGGCACAAATATACTTAGGGATCTTTGATTCAGATATTTTTTGTTCCATTTTCAGCAGAACTGAGTCTGCCACTTGTGTTTACCTGACTATGGCTTCGAAAGCAGCTTAGACAGCTTGAAGGTCATCAGCCAGACACTTCTGATGAAGCCATGCCTCATCACTCCTCACTGGCATACTACTTGCTCAAAGGAGCTAAGATGGGGGTGGGTTCTGAGACCTCCACACTACATAGCAATCTCCTGCAGTTCAATCAAATGACATCTGCATTACATATATAACAAAACTGGGAGAATCAACGGACTTTTCTGTAGTGTTCTGCATGTATGGACGGATGGAGCAAAGCACAGAGTTTGGCCATTTTCCATTTAGAAAGGTTTCAGCATTGCAAGACATACAGAGAACAGGTAGTATGGTAACCAGGAGGAAAATGCCACACAATATCGGGGCTACATAACAGTTAAATAATAAGAAGCCATGGCATCTCCAATTTGCAGGAAAAAACCTCAAGCTGATTTTTAAAAGCTCGATATGTTATTATTCTGATTTTCAAAGAAAAAGTCCTGACATAAACAGGAAAGCAATAACCAAACCAACAGAAACTGACTGTAAATTTTGTTCTGCCCACTAACCTAGAGTGCTGCCCACAGAGGTTTGTCCTCTGTAACTTTCCATAGCATGTAACTACTGAGAGAGGGGAAAATTATTTATTGAAGTGAGTAGTAGTGGCCGGCAACTTAGCTGAGGAAAATTACGCAGAACAGGAAGCAGTGTCTCACTCAGAGATCCAATCTTTTGAGAAAAATCCTACCACGTCATTTGGATAGTTCACATCTTTAGCTGGGTGATGTCACATCTGGTTTTGGCTTCTTGGAGGCATCTTTTCTCTGATTTACAGGTACTGAAGTTAGTTCCCTGGCAGCACCGACTGTTTTACACATATAAAGATAAGACCACTGAAACATTTTGCCATTCTGTGGTGATGACAGGGAAAACAAAGTAAAGTGATGCTTTTAAAAAAAGAGATAGGAGAGCTTCTTCAGAGCTGAGTCAAAGCCTAGGCTGATTAGAGCTCAACCAGTCCGAGTCCCAGGTCTGATCTTGTGTTCACTGGTAACAGAGAACACAAAGCTCCTGGTGGCAGCACTGTACGATAAATATTAATAAATGGCACAAGTTAATCTACAAAGAATGGGAGGCCTATAAATGGTTGGTTACTTACCTTGACGTTTCTGACATGTGTTACCAAAAAGTCTGATGATGCAAAGGCAGGAATCAGTAACAAAATACAAAGCAATAAATGGTTTTCCATTTTGGAAAAAAGTAAGGCTCCAATCTGAACGATATGCATAAATATAACACTTTGTTTACTGAGTGTTAATAAATAACCCCGTGTGAAAAGTGGGATTAAGCATTAGGTATTTGGGAAAAATCAAATAGTGAATTTTGAACTTGCATAATCTTCAGAACGCTGTTACAAAATACGTTTACAGAATTTACAGAATATTTCAGCTACGTCTCCTCTATGTGATATCCCCAAACAAACTTGACAGCCATTTCTGTTCAGGCAACTGAGACTGATCTCTGCTCCAGACTCACCTCTTCTTCAAACGAAAATGGTAATCTTTCTGATACCTTCTTGAAGCCATCCCTGGCTCAAATTTATTGCAGCCATAACAGAGCTTGCAGTCTTTTAAATATATTTATGCTCCTCTTCAAAAACTATCTCCCATAATCCTGCATACCACTCGGGTACACGTGTCTTGACTAGTCCAGAAACTTCATATTACGTGCTTTCCTGTCCATCTTCATGGCTGAAACCAGGGTCTTGCATCTTGCACAATCAATACCCATTCAGCCTGCTGCTTCAAGGGCCATTTTCTTTATTGTTTTATCTTGACAGCATTAACTCTCTCCATCTTTTTAGCTGGTTTAATCTCCTCCATTGCACAATACACAAACTTTGAGGACTGGGAGTTAAATTCTGAGGTGTGCAGCCATGTGAGGGACACAGGATAGGTCCAGAAGGTCCTTCTAAAGCAGTCCGATGCTTTTAAACCAATTCTCTGTTCCATCCAAAGGAGACAGGACAGCTCTGCAGAGCAGCTGTGCTCTGCCAGGCCACCCCAGCCACCTCCTGCCCCAGGGGACATGGCAGGGTGGTGGGGCCCACTGTGGTGCTGTGGGGCGCTTGTGGCACAGCTTCCCCCAGGGTTGTCACCTTGTCATTGAATCGTTAAGGTTGGAAAAGACCTCTAAGATCAAGGCAAACTGTCAACCCAACCTTACCGTGCCCTTAAGTGCCACATCTACACATTTTTTGAACACCTCCAAGGATGGTGACTCCACCACTTCCCTGGGCAGCCTGTTCCAGTGCTTGACCACTCTCTCAGTAAAGAAATTTTTCCTAACATCCAACCTAAACTTCCCCTGGTGCAACTGGAGGCCATTTCCTCTTGTCCTGTGTTAGTTACTTGGGCGAAGAGACCACTACCCACCTCGCTACAACATTCTTTCGGAAGGTGGTCCCTGTCCCCACCCTGCCCATGGTCTCATGGAGCAGCACGCCAAGGAACCGCGTCAAACACTGTTTTTGAAGATACGCCTTTGTTTCTCGAACCGCGACAACAGGGAAAGCCACTCTCACCACCGCTGGTTGGCGCCTTTCTCACGCCTGCCTCGGGCTCCCTG